TCTCTCTCTCTTTCTGCCTTCTTCATGAAATCAGAAGGAATTTAAGTTGTTCTTGAGTTTCTTGATGTATGTGGGTAGAGGTTTGTATGTAACCGGCCTGTGTTGTTTTTTCAGCAGGATTTTTCTAAAAGATGTCTTGTGCATGATTGGTCTTTTGTTCAGCTTTCTTGGAGGGGTATTGCTATTCCTGTTACTAAATATATAGGGAATTTGTAAATTTAATATTGTTGACTTTTTTTTTCTTCTTCTGCGTGGTTTAAAATTATGCAGTTGGAGAAGATTGAAACAGTGTCCCTTAAAAAGGAAATCCAAAGCATGTGTTAAATAACATGCTGTAATAGAATTGGATACGTGCTCTCAAATATCTGAAAATCATTTTCAGTAAATGTGAATTTCTAAAACTAGCAAATATCTTAAAACTAAACGCTCCAGAATAATCCAGAGTACAGTTGTTCAGCTAGCCATTTGGCTCTCATTTCTGTTCTTTAAGTGACGCTTTGGGGTTTTTTTAAGGTTTTTTATTAGGGCTTTTTTTTTGTTTCTGTGGTTGTTTTTTTTTTGTTTTTTAAATAAAGACAGGCTTTGCAGCAAAAGCTCAGGCCAAATCTTCTGCAGTTGTAAGATTCAGAGCTATAGATGACAGAGCCACAACTGATTTGTGCTGTTTTCATAGGCTCTTGAAGCAATAGGCTGTGGGGTTTTGATCCCGCCCAGAACACTTCAGTTCTGCTCTACGAAGATATATAATACTGGTAAGTTCTAGAAGCAGACATTTCTTTCTGCTCTTCCCCTTCATCATAATGCACAGCTTGCTTTTTCATAAAATAGAAATAAAAGCTTTTTTATTCTGCAACAGGTTTTATCTGCCCACTTAAGAATAAAAGGTAATGGAGACTGAACAGCAGGAGGAGACCTTTACCAACACAGAGACAAATGGTAAATTTTTTAAAGGACTACTTTATTTTGGAAATGTGCATTAACTGCATTAGATGTATTTGTATCAGCAATAGTTTTACATTTAATCATGCAATTTTCCATTATCCAGAAGGTTTTTACATGCTTCAGTATCGTGAATGCGTATTTCTTTTTTGGGGAAAACTTGAATGTAGCATAAGTAGCTGAATCTACAGCTGTACATTTTAAAACATTTGAGAGTTAAATGTAAAATATTTGTCTGCACCATGTCATTATGGAGAAAAGAAAGTACTGTCCAGCATACCTTACTGCATGTTTTTAATTGCAGTTACTATACTGCAGGTATAGTTATAGTTATGTGAAATTTCTTTAAATGTGCACTTCATTTGAAAGCCTTTTATGCAKAATTAGTGAGGAAGTAAAGATTTTTTTCAAGATTACTTGTGCCATTTTTTCAAATCAGTATTTGCAGTTTTTCTGTTACCTTATCAGACAGTATTTCAGTATTGAACAAACTCTGTGAGCTTTTTTGCTTTGCTTTGTTTGGGAGGGTCTTTCTAGTTGTAAATTATATGGGATTTTATTTTATTTTAT